CATCTCCTTTCCATAGTTCCCCGATCCTAAGTGTATCGATCAGCGACAAAAACACCTTCAACCTCTGGGATAGCGGACCGGACCGCTTACGTTCATTCACCAGCCCCAGTCACGAAAATACGGTTCTCTTGCTCGGAAATGAAGCCTTGTATCAACACATTTTCTGGTGCTTCTCCAAACCATTTTAACTCCACGTTCGCCACTTCATGGTCTGCAGACAACCGTATTCCAGACTTTTTTAAGGTTTCTATGTCGTCATCGGGGCCGGGTGACTGTCGTTTAAATTCGTTGGAAGGCACTCTAACATTGATCTGAATGTCCGAAAAGTCGAGAGGCTGGTAATACATTCCATCAGTATAGTTCACAGATGGATGAAAGGCGACGCACTACGTCGTACACCCAAACTTCAGCCTCATTCTCGTCTTCAGGACAATCGTTGGCAATGATGTAGGGAATATCTTTCATTCCCGCATCCAGTAATACAACGAGTGACGGGATGGTTGCAGGGCTGACTCGGATAGACATCCTGTCTCCGCCATTTTCACTCTGCTGGTGCAACGATACGCTTCCGTCTTTCTCCGTTCTTTCGTCTAGAATGACGAAGAAATACGGATGATACGGATTACTCGTGCACGAGAACCTTTCCAAAGAAAGGGAGGCCAGCTCCTCGTCGTTCACTGTGTGATTGATGTCAGCCTCTTCCTTTCGTGGAAGAGTTCAGAGGCGCTCACTGTTGCTAAAGCTCCTTGTGACATACACCCCAATCACATCATGCCACTCCCTCCCCTTCGCACACTCATCGTCGAATTTCTCGATGGTCGACTGGTTGATCCCAGCTTTAGCGAAACCAGCTATGCTGGACTTTTCTGCGCGTTCGCTGTCAGATAGTGTCATGGGTGTAAGGGAGGCAGGGAAGAAGCGCCGAAAGAAACAGAAGCAACCCCCGGGGACTCGTGGACATCATGCGACCCGGCTCACTGCCTATTTTACCTGTCTCCGGTTCAATTTGGAGGCAATTATCAGGAGGGGATGCGGTAAATGATATGATTGATTAGGGAATATATTGGAAGCGCTAAAAGGTCGACAACGGTATCCTGTGGATCAGGTGGACGTAGTTACATCATGATAATGAAGCCATCGAAGCATCCTATCTGATAGAGGCGTCATACAAGGAAACACCCTACTATTATACAGCCGAAACGATGAACGAAACGTGAGCGTTACTAAGGAGTGAACGTTCGTCGTTTATAGAATAATTATAATAAAAGACTGAATGGGATCAATCAATTCAGATAGATAACCAAAGAGAAAGTATTTTCGTTAGTTGACGTGGTACAAAGACTGGCTTTATACTGGACCTGCAGTCACCGGCTGTGACATCAAAATTACTGACAATTGCCAGCATAGCTGGTCTCGGTATTCGCAACCATAGAGCCCTTGAACGTGGCAAAGCTCGACCGGTCATCCTGGTTCGTGACGACGGATTCAATGTTAACAGCCCCTAGAAGAATGAACGAATCAGACCATGCAACCAGGTACTGGCAGGAATACCAACATTTATAGTGGCCTTGGGTCGCGGAGTTGTAGTTGAACCAAATCCAGCCGGTCGCGAGGTAGCGGATCTTGCCCGTAGCCTGAATATTACAAGTATTGGTGGACGTCTAAGGAGGAAGTGTCATTGAACCGTTTATCATCACAAGATTGAAAGAGACGCACCACAGCTGTGCAAGTCTTGCCTTCGGGAGCAGTCATCTTTATCGTGACTTTGCTCATGTCGTTGTAAGATGTATCGATGCTACATACCAAGTGAGTGAGGTCATCGGGAGCAGGGAATATGGAATAACTTACGTGCTCGACGTCGTATCCGTGACCGAGGCAGAGACAGTGAATGCCTCAGTTACTTCGGCTACTTCTGGAACACCGATTTTAACACTCAGTGTGTTGGAAACACCAAGTGTCGAAGCAGCTGAATGCCAAATCAATAATGAGATAATAGTCGGAAAAAGATATTAGAACACGTACAGCTAACGGTGTAAGAACTGTCGCTGTTAAAACCTTGGTCGACTTCGATGTCAACTTCACCCTCGGTACCAACAAGGCTCCCCTTAGAAGTGGTGGTATGCGTTTGGCAGACCGGGTCGCCTGTCTTAGAGTCAGGACAAGGAAAAACAAAATAACTGCGAACATACCAGAATAGCTCAGCTGAACAACGTCATCCGTGATACAGACCTGTGCAGGGCGGTCGACATACTAAAGGCAATGATGGTCAGATCATCGATATAAGGAATAAAGAATTAGCGCTACATCGGTAGGGTTTGTAACAATGTTGCGAGAGCCAGATCCCCAATTCGAGTTGGCATATTGTACGATAGAATCCCATCCAGGAACTGCGACGTCAATTGATTAACACTAGATTGTAGAGGTCAAGGAACCGTTTACTGGTTTGGGCCTCGGCGACAGACAGCTGTGCGCATTGGCCAGCGTCACGACGCTCAACGGCGCTGGAATCAGCATCGACCGGATACCTCCCGTAGAGTGAACCATCACGCTTGAAGGCGAGATAGTGTCCTTTTGCCTCATCGACGGCGATATGGGCGATATCTCTGGGAAGAGACCGGACAAGCTGGCTGAAAGGCAAAGCAGTGACGCCAGAAAGGGCAGTCAAGAAAGTGATAAACTAGAAAGACAGATATGAGCACAGTCTTAGGACGAAGACAGGAAGTTACTTACAGCAGCGGCACTGAACATCGTGTAGGTGGATGTAAAGGAGGGTAGAACGAAAAGACGGTCGAATAATTAAAAGACAGTCAAAGAACTAGAAGCGAAAACCGTAAGGGAAAGTTGTGTGTTTATGGTTCTCTACGACACATTGTGTTCTGCTTTATACTCTAGAGGCTATGTTTCAGTATTTCATCGGTGGCCGAGACGATACGGTAGACTACTCACAAGATGTTTCGAAGCAGCGCGCCCTCAGGCCACGCTCATGTCGGGCATGTGGACTTTGAACTTCAAGGACCTGTTTCGGATCGACGTGATCACCCAACTCAACCCTATCACTAAGATATACTGCACCGCCGATAGCATGATACGATAGACGAAGATTGTCCGAGGCAGTCCCGCGCTCAAACAATAGGAGCGGCCGGTACCTGTTCCGGCTACTCATTTCGTGCCAGTCATCCGTAGGCTTCAATCATGCTCACAGCAATGTCCATCCTGGGATGAAGTCCACCGTTTTACCTTTTTCCTGAGGGAAATGATGAACTCGAAGGCTACTGAAACATAGACCTGGCTATTTACTTACGGCGCCAGCTCAGTCAGGCCACCTCTCGCCGATACGACGAGGCTTGACACTGTTACGACGAAACCAGAGCCATCAGTGATCGACGGTCCTGGTTGCTCAATTGTTGCCTTGGCCGAAACCAGAGATTCATGCTACGAGACACCCGATTCCTTGCAAGGTTGCGTACCGTCAGAATTACAGAAAAAGTTTTGATATTGAGAGCGAGGGTGAGTGCATACGTACTTCGTCGTCCAGATGAAGAAGCCGAGAGAGAATTGAAGTTAACAGTTCGGGTGGCGGTGTCGGCTATCTAAAGCCGATTTCTCACGCCACATGCGCGTCAAAAGGTTTCCTCCCAACACGATGTCAGACTCGCCCTTTTATCAACAAGATCTGTACTATTAGAACGGCAACATAAAACGCGATAAGTTTATTCTCTCCACGATGGCACCAACGAGACTGCTCCTCTGTCAGCGAAACACTGTCGAGATATCGCACTGATGAAAATTCTGGATTGAATCGAGGCCTTGCCCTGGTATCAAGGACCACTCTCCATCTTTGGATTTGTCTGATAAATCCAAACCATCTACCTTACATCCAGTCACCGTTCACTAACTCCGAGATGGCGAAGACATGCCCGCAAATTCTCCCGAAATATTTCCCCTGGGTGACCATGCCTGGTATCTGTCGACTATGCCTATTCTCTAATAATTTTAACCACGACCATGAAAATCTGGAGGATCCTGTCGAAGAACATTGCAATCAATGACGAATGTGACTTGATTTCGTATCGTTATATCCTAGAATTTCTACCAAAACGTCGACCAAGACTGAACATTACACGCAATAGTTGGGATATCCTTCTGTCTATTTGGACGTCGACACGAATCTACTCTAAATTAGGCGGCCCGCTTCTACGATACGCGTCTTGAACTGGCATAGGAGGTGCGGTCCGCCGTGCCGCCGCCGTCTTAGAAAATCTACGCCGCTAGCTCACAGTGAAAGATATATGCAAGTTTTGAAGGAGATACGGTATATGCACTGGAGATGAAAGGACGACGATAAATTACACAGAAGTCCAGCCATTGCATGAATGGTGCAGAGCGTACGGTCCAGTATGTAGATACATATGATAGAAAGGGACGGTCCGAAGTAATGAATTGTCCGTGGTCGTATACTCCTGCCGCTATCCCAATCAGTCGAAGCCAAAGAGCCGAGGAGCAATATACTCACAACATACCCACAGAGCAGAGTCTTGAAAAAGAGAACTAGCGACGAGGTATGGCAGAGCGTATTGTTTCTGGGATGATTTGAACATCGTGCATGGTAAGCAGCATCGGCGAGACTCGATATGTGAACTGGCGGTAATCTCCGCTGCAGGCTACTCTTTGCTCGAATCGATACCAGCTAACATACATCACGTTCTGGAGTTTATCGGCCTGAATGCATCATCTGTAGTCCGAGTTGGGCAGAATTGGGTGTCCCTAGGGCTGCCGCTATGATCCTGCAAATCATCATATTCCCTACTGGTGTAGGTCACTTGTTCAACGCTGTTCAGCGGTTGCACGCATGATAATAGAAGAGCAGCAAACGACAAGGTACAAGGATCGGAATGTGCTGGCAAATTCTGCTGGTACTTTTCGAGTTCCAGATAGGTATACGGTCCCCTGTATAAGCCACAAATCGCCTTGTTAGAGCCTATTAACGAATCTGTAATGGATCTCTGATAGTATATCGGTTAGTACACGCGCCTGTCAAGAGTGTTTCTGGTGCTACGCGCGAAAGCTGGGTTCGACTCCCAGTCAGAGAGTTTTGTCTGAATTTTTGAATCTTAGTAGCAAATGCTTATAATTTATTGCTCAATGCTCAATGCTTCGGGGCCGTTGTTCCGGACCCCGGACCATCAATCTTAATGCTAAATGCAGACAGGGATTATGGATTCTCCGCAATGCGGGAAACCTCCAAGGGAGGGGGGAATTACCATTCTTTTTTACAAACCCGTCCCCAAGAAAGGCTTTGATATGGCAATTGCAAATTCTTTTAAAGCACATCCGTATTTACATACTTACACAATGTCGTACATCTCTGCATGTACCTCGTAATGAGAATATACATGCTGTGGTGGTGAACTACCTACCCGGTGCCAGTCACTGACACATTATAGCCGGCACTTACTACCACTGCGTTAGCTTAGATAACCTGTATGGATCTATCTTCACTGAAGCTTGAACGTGATCAAACGTTTAGTCAAGACACTAAAAATTATAGTTTTTCTCATCCAGCAAGTGCTGAGTGGGAGGAACTCGGCATTTTTCAACAAATGTCTCGAGTGTCATAGTAAAATACTACGAAATAACTCTGTCACAGAAGAGTCGCATGCTGTCTGAGGTGTTTCCAGTGAAGATGAGACGATATACCAGTGTTGTCGGCATCGAGCAACGGTATCAGATTGTACAACTTACCTACGTTGGCGTGCGGCTGCCACTACCTGGCAAATGATGCGAGAGACAACTTGAACTGTTCTTTGCTTGTTCAAAGTCAGCAGCCCGTTTTCATCTGACCCATAAATGGGTTTCTAACAGTAGTCTAACAATCCTGGAGGAATCTCCTTGGAGTAACATTCGCTTTTATATTTCGACAAAATAAATCAAGAGTCATTTGGGAGACGACGCCCAAGAATAAATATCAAATGAGTGTGTGGAAGCGAACGCCAAATAACATCTCTGACCAAGAGTCAGAGCCAAAACATCAATGTCCACGAAGCAGTTATCATTATCCCCGCTAGAATAGCGCCTTGTTTGATTCCTCCAGTTGTCGCGGCATTGGCTTCCGCAGCGGCGACCTCGCAGGAGGAGTACACTGACGTGAGTATAAGATCGAAAACAACAGCAACACGGCCTGTTAGTACTTACGCTCAGCCAACTCCTCGAGCATGGCCTCCTCGTTGTCACCTGAGGCCGCACTCTTGAAGCAGGTAAGACAATTAGACACGCTGGCATTGTAGTTGGTCGAGCAGAGGCAAGACCCCATGCTATCTCCGCAGGCCTACACGTTGAAGCCCCTGTCAAGTTCAGAAACGGGAGAATGATCATGCGCAACTCACAACGATGGAAACGAGGACTTTACAATCGGTAGAACAGGTATCGGGGACGTACGAGATATTGACGGCGGAAGTGGTGTTGGTATCGCGATGGAGGATAGGGAGCCAGGATGTTAATCCCTGCCCGAGGACTTCGAGAGGAACAGTCGTTATCATCCCGTACGAAGGACAAAAGTAAAGAAACGTACCTCCGTTGATGTTAACGAGTGACAAGCATAGGAAAAATAACGGTAAGCCGCTCAACATCGTAGCAGCGGGGGAAAAGTAGTAAGAGATTTAGTTGACGAATCGATGGAAGGAACCATTCTTTCTGTGTCATGACCACACGTATCCGCAGCTCCCCGGCCCATCAACAAGCTGCGAAGCCGTGGGATCGCGCCGTCGTGTTTGGCACTCTTCTTCCTGGCAGATGGTCTTGGTGATGACGACGTGATTACATGGAGCGTGTTGAATACCGTGCGCATTCTTAAATGAGCGCCTATAAGAAGTTGCTTCATGGATTGAACCCACGGACGTCTAGCGTCAGTCAGGCACTTGCGCAGTGGTTAAATGATCAATCCAAACAGATCGGACAGTGCTGGAAATAGCTCGGGATGTTTTATTTATTACATCGGCTTTTAACGTGCGATCAATAGCCATTGTAGGGAGATGATGTATGCAACACACCTTGAGCTAGAGAAGGAGAGCTGCCTTTATGCAGGTATCACCGGCGAGTGAAGGCTCGCTCGTCTACTCTTACCGATAGGCATCTTCTCGTGTACCTGACATGACATCGAACGAATGTCAAAGATAAATATATTCCTCAGGGTATCTTTGGGATTGTGATAGGGCAGACTGACCGAGTATTTACCGATAACGATATCAAAGGGGGATCATTGAAGCTATTTTACTCAACGACGGCAGTTCATTACGTTGCTGCGGTACACAACAAAAGCTTGCATATAAGAGGAGACACTTCTAGAGGACCAGCTAGATGTCCGTCTTGTCAATGATATACCGGTCCGGTTCCTTTCAGTAAAAGTTTTCCTTCTAGTCTTCGCGAAACCACCTGCGGCTTTTTGATAGTCTGAAAAAGCGGACTGGACTGGAATACAACGTCAGGATTTGATTCGTCTTAGTTCATAAAAAGTTCTTACAATTCTCGCTTTCTCAAGCACAATGATCATGCAAATTTGGCTTGGGACCTTGACTCGATACTTCGTCTGAATTTTCGACTGGCCTATTCTTCGTTATACAACTCGAATGTGTTCTCAAGAATGGTCGTCCTAAGAATTTTAGGCATCAACGGGATATCTTCCGGTCATGTCTTTGAATGAGAGTAACCGGTCAGCACCCGTTGACATTCAAGGATATGTTACACCTCTTTTCATTAGCTAGTTAAACAACTTCTCAAAGCTCTCAGATCAGCAGCAACCACAGTACAGTCATCAAGGTAGATATTAGATTACTTGAACTACGGAGGACGATATCAGGATATGATGGATGATAGAGCAGGGGAAAAGACATACATTCTTTCCGTCAACCCACTTCTTGCCCTGGAGCTCCAAATCCCAAGCGAGCGCACCTTCGAAGAAGGCTTTCTGCTGCTCATCCTTCAAGTCAATCTTCTCGTACTTGTAGCTCTCCCAATCGGGAGCAACGTCTACGACGGGGCCGACATTCTGACCGCGGAGAATGAGGACACCGCTGATGACGCTGTCATTGGTCTGGCCTAGTACGCCAACGGAACCGAAGAGGTATTTCCGCGAAGCCTCTAGACGGTTGAAGAATCCACCAATCTGGTTGGAGGACATGAACGTCTGAGTGAGTTCCTCGTTGTACTTGAAGTCAACGCGGTAGATAGAGAAGCCTTCGGCATCGAAGCTGAAGAATAGCATGAAGGGGGAGGAAAATGCATAATCAAAGATAGTACATACTTTTGGTAGAACCATTCGAGGGATCCGCCAGCTCCACGGGTGTCCTTGTTGGAGTATGCCCGTTTCCAGTCCTCGAGGTTGAACGTCGACTTGGGGAGATCATCGAGGGGGTTCTTGACCTTGGGCTCGGGAGGAACGTCGGGCACGTCAGCATCGTCGTCCTCGACCTCCTTCTTCTTCGGCTTCTTCTCCTCGGCTTTCTTCTCTTTGGGGGGAGCAGGAGCCTTCTCCTTCTTTGGAGGGACAAATTGCACACCCTTCTCGGTGTAGTTGATAGGGCCATAGATCTCCTTCAGCTGTGGTTGATTGACGATAGTCTCGAGGTGGCGGATGAGGTGGGGAACCTGGGCCCGGACAGAGGCATCAATGCTGATGCTAGCGCCGAATTGAATGAAGGCAGCGATGCTAAGGTCAGCAAGGGTGATGCGCTCGCCGACGAAGAATGTGTGCTTAGCAAGGTGAGCATCAAGAGTTTTCAGAGCACGGAGTTGTTTCTCGAGGAAGTAGGTGTGAGCAGGTTTGGAGTAGCCGGCAATTGTGCCGTTGCAGACGTGGTTGGTGAGAACGGTGTAGACGTCAACTTCGCTCTCAGCAAGGTGGATCCACTGGTCGACTTGAGCAGCTTCTTCTGGAGTCAAGCCGAGTAGGTTCGAATTGGGAGCTTTTGAGGCGACTGGGAACCGAATATATCAGTATCCATCGTAACGGAGAAGAACAAGTAATCAGAGAATTAGAAATGCTGTCGACACGAATGTTAAGACAGGGATAACTGAATGAATGTATTTCATCCTAGGAAAACGAAAATGAATCACAAAAACTCGCAAACACGCACCGTATCGAGCAATCGCAGACCACTCAAAGAGTAAGAAATCACCATCCTCCCATGCTGGAACCTTTCCGTGAGGGAATTTGCCCAAGAAAGGAGGCTTCAGATTGTCTTCATGGTGTGTGTAGGCATCTGGGAGCTTAAAGGGAACCCCTCCAATAACGGCTGCAGCTCGGATCTGTGGGACATCTTTAGATATCGATATCAATCAGAGCCACATTGTACGCACCGGCTTGCCCTTTGGCTGACGGGGAATCGTCCACAGGGTAGGTGTCGACATCTTTTAGTGCGGTAAAATGATAATCTGAAGGTCGTAGAGAAGGACAGTGGTGGGGGAAGGATATCAAGGACGAAAATTTTGTGATTCAGAAAGGTACGCCATCATGTGCTTAGTTTAGGGCCGGTCACTTGAGAAATCGATATCGATTCACGTCTTCTTTGCGTCTTTTTGTCTATTGATTATCCACACGCGACTAGGGCTTAGGACATTGCGCAAGTATTACCTAAAAAGGGAGAGTATGTGTATCTGTCCCGTTATTTTATCTCCGAGAATACTGTTAAACACGTAACGAGTTCAGGGTAAGTGTTGTTAAGTTCTAGTAGGTATTCATTCTTTTCCTTCCCAAGTCCCGGCTGCTCCCTAACCGATTTTAGAGGAACCCCGGTCACCAGGTAACCAGACTGAGACTTGTTTCTATATCCTGGATTATGCGTTTATGGTCGACAATGTTATTTGGTACTGGGGCACCTTTCACTGCCATCCAGAAAAAATTGTCCCGCGATGCGACTGTAGCATTTTTGGAATAACACTGACTTATTTTGAAGCGCAAGATATATTTCAATAATTTTCGACGACTGTTCCACTTCTGGACGCAGAATTCCTGCGATATCGAGTTCGAGAACGACTTGCAGAGCATCATTCCGTACTACCGTTCACGATATACCGCAACACTGTAAGTAAAAGTTCA